TCTATTCATATATTTATAAAAATGAGATATTTATTCTAAGAAAAAAATAATTGAATATTTTGGTCAAGAATTTTCCTTCTTTTGCAATTAATATTATTATTATTATTATTATTTAAAGCATGATAATTGATTAGAACGTTATTCATTGTGGCGGCTTAGGAAAATTCTTCTTTTCTTTTTAAAAAAATAGTAAAAAATAACCGCGTGGAATTGGAAATATTTGGGTTTTTGTCGTCATGTATTGTTAGTTTTATACTTTTAAAACGCGTCTATTAGGGAGAGGTTTGACACCCATATAAGAAATGTTTTGTTCTCCTTTCCAACTAACGTGAGACCAACATCCTCACTGGTGCACCGCCCGGTGTCTGGCTTTGATACCATTTGTAACAAGTCCACCGCAAGCAAATATTGTCCATTTTGGCTCGTTACGAATCGTTACCCGTCTCAGATTTCAAAATGCGTCTATTAGGAAGAGATTTCCACACCCATATAAGAAATGCTTTGTTCCCTTCTCCAACCGATGTGAGATCTCACAATAATCGATCGACATATCAAATTTGTATCCTCTCGTCATTTCACTAAACCTGATGAATCAATCTAAATTAAATTAACGATCGAGATGAAAGGACGTTTTCGTAATTTGTTCAAAGAAAAAGAAAAAGAAAAATGGAATATGATTACTTGAGAGAAAAATGTTGTACAAATTGGTGTTTTGTGAATAATGGGACATTGACTTAACATGCATATAATATAAAGGACATTGAATAAGTTTTATAAGGGGCTATGAAGGATGATAAATCAAACAAAGAAAATCCATAAAATTCTATATTCTTTCATATGAACCACCACTCCTTTGTTTTGTTGTTTGTCACACTCCACCACTCATAGTCTCCAATCCTTTAGGCTTAACTACAAATTTTGTACTACACTTTCATAAATCAAACATACGGTCTAATTTCGAGCTTAACCTATCGTAAAAAAAAAAATTGAGGCGTAATGTGGAACGGTCCAAGCTCTCTGCTTTCAGATATTGTCCGCTTTGACCTATTACGTATCGTCTTCAGCTTCACAGTTTTAAAACGAGTCTACTAGAGAAACGTTTTCACACACTTATAAGGAATGCTTCGTTCCCCTCTTCAAACGATGTGGGATCTCACAATCCACCCTCTTGGGGACTCAACGTCCTCGCTGGCATACTGCTCGATGTTTAGCTCTGATACCATTTGTAACAGTCCAAGCCTACTGTTAGTAGATATTATCCATTTTGACCCGTTACATATCGTCGTCAGCCTCACGATTTTAAAACACATATACTAGGGAGAGGTTTTCACACCCTTATAATGAATGCTTCGTTTTTCTGTCCATCTGATGTGAGATCTCACATAATGTCTGTCAACGACTGTTACTATTAGGGACGTGACTAAAATCGTCATTATTAGTTAGAAAAGAGGATGGTTAAGGGTATGTCTCCGAGGTTTTGTAGGTGAAAATGAAAGTAGAGTTATAAGAAGAAAGTGAACAATATTACACTATTATAGATATATTTGGAGGGTCCGTTATCTCCAGTAATTGATATCGTAGGTCAGCCCTAAACTTAAATTTATCAATAGAGTTCTCGTGCTTTAAATAAAGGTATGGTGAGTGTCAATCTCAGTGACGTAGTCACGGAGATTATAGGAAATGTAACCTAAATGACTAATAACCTAAAGTGAACAATATCATATCATTTTCAGTCTTTTTCACTCGATAATATGATTAACACTAAAGTGAGCATAGAGCGTGTCTCAGTCCTACTTGAACCCATCTCAGCGACAGTTAGATCATCAACCATGACCTCTAAATGACCGTTTAGTGGAGATAGGGGTGCAGAAACAGTGACAGAGTCAAGTCGTTCCTCTATCTTCCTTTACGGACGAGACGATTATTGGCACATACTCAATTCCTTGAGCTTCAAAATTCAAATTTTCCCGAGCTATTTTTGAAACCAAAAAGAGTCCATTCGTTCCTCTACCTTCCTTTACGGACGAGACGATTATTGGCACATACTCAATTCCTTGAGCTCCGAGCTTCGAACTTTCCCGAGCTATTTTTTATGCTTTTTTTGAAGCCAAAATGTGGACGTAACAAAGACATGAAGGAGAAACAAAGGAAGAGAGAGAAATGGTTCATGATTTGGCCCAAAATCCACAACACGACAATCTCCATATTTGTTTCATCTTCCTCGCATAATTGCTGTGGACCTTTCTTTCTCCATTATTATTATTCCACTTCTACCCTCCATTTCTTATCGTATAAAATCACGTCTAATCTATCAGCTTAAGTTTCGTGTACGATAGTGGTTTTCGTGAATCTTCCAACACTATTGTTAAGGTAGCGAATGTACGTTCCATTCCATGTGCTAGGAATCACGGATCTCCACAATGGTACGATATTGTCTATTTCGAGCATAAGCTCTCATGAGGATTGTTGGCTAATTTAGAGAATGATCATATGTTTATAAGTAAAGAAATACATCTTGATTAGAAAGCCCAAAGCAAAGCCATGAAAGGTTATGCTTAAAATAGATAGTATCATACTATTGTGGAGAGTTGTGATTCCTAACAAGGGTGCTAGCTAGAAACATCATGCCATTGTGGAGAGTCGTGATTCCTAACAAGGGTGCTAGCTAGAAACATCATGCCATTGTGGAGAGTCGTGATTCCTAACAAGGGTGCTAGCTAGAAACATCATGCCATTGTGGAGAGTCGTGATTCCTAACAAGGGTGCTAGCTAGAAACATCATGTCATTGTGGAGAGTCGTGATTCCTAACAAGGGTGCTAACTAGAAACATCATGCCATTGTGGAGAGTCGTGATTCCTAACAAGGGTGCTAGCTAGAAACATCATGCCATTGTGGAGAGTCGTGATTCCTAACAAGGGTGCTAGCTAGAAACATCATGCCATTGTGGAGAGTCGTGATTCCTAACAAGGGTGCTAGCTAGAAACATCATGCCATTGTGGAGAGTCGTGATTCCTAACAAGGGTGCTAGCTAGAAACATCATGCCATTGTGGAGAGTCGTGATTCCTAACAAGGGTGCTAGCTAGAAACATCATGCCATTGTGGAGAGTCGTGATTCCTAACAAGGGTGCTAGCTAGAAACATCATGCCATTGTGGAGAGTCGTGATTCCTAACAAGGGTGCTAGCTAGAAACATCATGCCATTGTGGAGAGTCGTGATTCCTAACAAGGGTGCTAGCTAGAAACATCATGCCATTGTGGAGAGTCGTGATTCCTAACAAGGGTGCTAGCTAGAAACATCATGCCATTGTGGAGAGTCGTGATTCCTAACAAGGGTGCTAGCTAGAAACATCATGCCATTGTGGAGAGTCGTGATTCCTAACAAGGGTGCTAGCTAGAAACATCATGCCATTGTGGAGAGTCGTGATTCCTAACAAGGGTGCTAGCTAGAAACATCATGCCATTGTGGAGAGTCGTGATTCCTAACAAGGGTGCTAGCTAGAAACATCATGCCATTGTGGAGAGTCGTGATTCCTAACAAGGGTGCTAGCTAGAAACATCATGCCATTGTGGAGAGTCGTGATTCCTAACAAGGGTGCTAGCTAGAAACATCATGCCATTGTGGAGAGTCGTGATTCCTAACAAGGGTGCTAACTAGAAACATCATGTCATTGTGGAGAGTCGTGATTCCTAACAAGGGTGCTAGCTAGAAACATCATGCCATTGTGGAGAGTCGTGATTCCTAACAAGGGTGCTAGCTAGAAACATCATGCCATTGTGGAGAGTCGTGATTCCTAACAAGGGTGCTACCTAGAAACATCATGCCATTGTGGAGAGTCGTGATTCCTAACAAGGGTGCTAGCTAGAAACATCATGCCATTGTGGAGAGTCGTGATTCCTAACAAGGGTGCTATCTAGAAACATCATGCCATTGTGGAGAGTCGTGATTCCTAACAAGGGTGCTAACTAGAAACATCATGTCATTGTGGAGAGTCGTGATTCCTAACAAGGGTGCTAACTAGAAACATCATGCCATTGTGGAGAGTCGTGATTCCTAACAAGAGTGCTAGCCCATTGTGGAGAGTCGTGATTCCTAACAAGGGTGCTAGCTAGAAACATCATGCCATTGTGGAGAGTCGTGATCCTAACAAGGGTGCTAGCTAGAAACATAAACAGTATCAAAGAAGAGCGAGACAAACACAGTTGACAAAACCCGGTCCATTAGGTTTAAAGAGACATGACCTAATTCCTTCTCTAAATAGAGCAAAGGAAAGATAAAAGAATAAAGTTTGGTGAGAAGAAAATGGTAGGCATGAGTTAGGCGTTTGATGAAAGAAAGTATCTTTGATGGCGGGTCCTGATGAGATTGGTTGGCCATTAATATATACTCTTCCATCAATTTGAGGGTTTTTTTTTTCTGCCTCCCAAATCATGCCAACCAAGAATCTCTCAAAATCTAAATCAAAATCAAATTTTGAAAAAAACCCATTTGAATTAATGCAAAATTGAAGCAATTTCTTGTCCTTTAGGGGTGGAATTCATAATCTTTTTACTTTACTCATCAAATAACCCAACCCTTCTCCCATGAAAATATCAAGTAAATGAATAATGAGAGAGAGAGAAAAGGTAGCCCATAGGATGTCTATTCAATACAATAAGAGAGAGGGAGAGCTTCCCTCTCGACCCAACAAAGTACATTATAAAGTCTCTTCTAAACTCTATGTAGATAAAGTCTCTTCTAAACTCTATGTAGCCCTCGAATAGTCTTTCTTTAGTCGAGGCTCGACTTCTTTCTTTCTCTGGATCCTTCAAACAAGAGAGAGAGAGAGAGAGAGAGAGAGAGAGAGAGAGAGAGAGAGAGAGAGAGAGAGAGAGAGAGAGAGAGAGAGAGAGAGAGAGAGAGAGAGAGAGAGAGAGAGAGAGAGAGAGAGAGAGAGAGAGAGAGAGAGAGAGAGAGAGAGAGAGAGAGAGAGAGAGAGAGAGAGAGAGAGAGAGAGAGAGAGGGTGGCCCATAACATGTCTATTCTATTCAATACCCTCCATGATTTGATTTGCATCTTCTTCCACTCACTCCCACACTCTTCTCCCTATTGATTTCACCACCAAATTTCAATTCTCCCAACAAAATTTTCCTTATTTAGCAAAATAATCTTCATCTTTTCATCCATTTCACTTCATCATCCACCAACAAACCATGTCTTTCGAAGGAGCAACCAAAGATTTCTCTGAAGGATCTTCATCAACCTCTTCCCCTCAGCCTGGTGGATCAATACCAAGCCGATACGAGTCCCAAAAACGAAGAGATTGGAACACATTCTGCCAATACTTGAAGAATCAAAGGCCCCCAGTTCCTCTTTCCCATTGTAGTTGTAACCATGTTTTGGAGTTTTTAAGGTATCTCGATCAGTTCGGCAAGACAAAAGTTCATGTTCAAGGTTGCATGTTTTACGGCCAGCCCGAGCCACCTGCCCCTTGTACTTGTCCTTTAAGACAAGCTTGGGGCAGTTTGGATGCCCTTATTGGGCGCTTGAGAGCTGCTTATGAAGAAAGTGGTGGCTCCCCGGAGACTAACCCCTTTGCTAGCGGTGCAATTAGGGTTTATCTTAGGGATGTGAGAGAGTGTCAAGCTAAAGCAAGAGGAATTCCTTACAAGAAGAAGAAGAAGAAGACTACCACCACTAATCAATCCAAAGGAGCTGAAGATTCAACCTCTATGATGCACTTTGTCCCTTGATCATTATGGTAACTTATTTCTCCCCATCATTTCTCGTTCAAATTAAGACGTCTCACGATTAGGGTTTCTGTATATCGTTTTAATCATCTGGGTTATGCTCGACCTACTTAACCGGATCTCCTTTCCCTTAGAATTGCCCCTGAAACAACTACGTGTTGTACACGATTCTCGTGTGAATCAGGTCAAATATAGACTACTCTGTGTCACTTAGAGCTAAACGATTAGTGATAATTCTAACAACAAAATGTGTTATAAACGATTCTCGTGTGAATCAGGTCAAATATAGACAACTCTGTGTCACTTAGAGCTAAACGATTAGTGATAATTCTAACAGCAAAATGTTGACTCCTTTCGAGATTATTTCGGGATTAGTGTTTTCAAAGACTTTGAAGTGATGTTTTTTTCACAAAGTGTTGAAAGAACATGATTAAGGTAAATTTCATGTCTCATGACAAAGATTATGTCCCAAATTATAATGTGTTTTCATGTTTTATTTTCTTATAATCACTTATAATATAAAGTCATATGATCATATCAAAACCTCTATTTGCATTATATGAGACACCATGGTATTTATTACTTTAATTTCTTAATTAATGACCCACTTATTGCTTCTTTTTTTATTTATTGTTTTTAAAAAACCCATCAAAGAACAATTTTATTTTTTTAATTTAAATTTTATTATATAGTTTTAGCTTCGTACTATATCTAGATTTGCTTCTTGTCCAATATTAGATTTTGTGGGACACTGATTTATATTCCATCATCCAAATGTTTGGACTTGAAAATCTTTTTATATTCCCTCTCTTTTTTTCCCCAAAACTTTGCTTAAATTAATTTTCTTCATACTTTATACAAATTCATATAAGAAAAATAACTAGGGTTTGCTCCTTTGTCGTGAAAATGTTAGCTCTCAGCGTTACGTGAAGGTAGAAGATCAAACACTAACCTTTTAGTCGAAGATATTATGTCTTACCTAGTCGAGTGATACTCGAGCTGACTCATGGATCCTACTGGATTATTGTCATGTCTCAAAATGTGGATGGTGGGTAAGCATATTTATCGCGAATAGGATTTAGCCTCATGCATAACCCGAGATTTTAGCTTAAATAGTCGGCACCGTAAAAGTGTGTATAGCTCAGTGATAATTAGCGTGTATCCTTCAACCAAAAAGGCCAACATTTTTCATTTGTAAATAGAAGTACATAACCTATCTACTGTTGGATGATGAAAGTCCTACGTCAGCTAATTTAGGGAATGATCATGGGTTTATAATCAAAGAATACCCTCTCCATTGATATGTGGCGTTTTGGGGAAGCCTAAAACAAAGCCACGAGAGCTTATGTTCAAAGTGAACAATATCATACCATTATGGAAAGTCGTGTTTGTCTAACCTCTACTACATGGATTCGAACCTTTTTGTACATGTTGATTACAACTGAATTATGCTCGTATGGTATATTTGCAGGAAGTAGAGGAAGGGACACGAGATTGAGAGAAGAAATGAATAATTCTTGTTCGGAGAAGTTTATATATATATATATATGATATATATATTGTGAAGAGGATTGAATCTGTATCAAATTTCATTAAAGCCATTAGTACTTTATGATATCAGAGAGTTTTCATTTCCTTTTGCCTTTTGAATTTTCAGCTTTTAAAATTGCCTTTGGTATCACAAAACTGATCTAAATGTACGTAATTTGCTGAGCTTTGTAATATGTGTGCTGTGCTGTGCTGCATCCCTCTTTTGTACTGGTTTACGTTTATCAATTTATTATGTGCTTTCTCTTCCTCGTTGCACGCTTCTATGTGTTATGGGTATTTATTTAGGGTCCGAGAATTTAAACATCTAACTTCTTGATCGATCATATATGCTCAAACCATTTAAACGGTTTACAAATTTGTTGATTAACGATAATATTTTAATCCGTATTCATTGCAAATAGAGATTTGAATCGATGATGGTTGACTCAAGTTGTGAGATTTCGTATTGGTTGAAGAGAGAAACGAAATATTCATTATAATATATGAAAACTTACCATTAGTAGACTCGTTTTAAAACCTTACAAGAAAGCTTAAAAGGAAAAGCTCAAAAAGCACAATATTTGTTAGCGGTGGGCTGGAGCCTATTAGATCCTACATTGGTGGGACGGTTATGCAAGTTGACCTTCTATATATATATATTTTTTATTTTTGAAATTTAGCGTTATGTTAATTTCGAATAGACATTAATACCCTTAAATTCCAATCACGTCAAGATACTCTTTCAATGTCTAATCCACTTAAGCTCGCCCTTTCGTAATTTAGATTACAAACAAAGAAATTGTTCGTAAATAAACTTAATTAATTAATCAACTCAAAATTATAACAAATATTTTTCTAAATAAGCTTAATTAAAAAAAAAAATGAGGTGATAAGATAATTAAAGAGGAAAATGAGAGAGAAACAATGCTGCTGTCTCTTCTTCAATAAAGCTGTGTGGAAAAGAGAGTCCTACGGAAACCAACAAATTGGACTTATGAAGCCTATAAGCATTTTAGGCTTTTCTTTGAAAACGACTCCTAATTAATTATATTCAAACCCCACTATCGTTTATTCAATTTTCCAACTCGTCTTCAAAATATGCCTCTTCTGACTCGTTGAACTTAGAATTTAAATATTGAATACGAAAATCTGTAGGCCTCTTCTAATAATTGCTCGGTGCAGATTTGAAATGCTTTTAATTCTGTAAGCTAGTTGGTCACTACTAAGAAAGAGTCGATCCTAACCTGAAAAATGGTTAGAGTCTGTGTCTAATATACGAAAGACCAAGCAAAGTCCCAACGGAGGTGAAAACTACCACACTGGAGTACGGGAGCAGTGAAACGCGTAGATCGAAACGATAAACCGACGGTAAAAGCATTTTACTAAACCGACACTGACACTGAGAGACAAAAGCTAGGAGAGCGAATATGATTAGATACCCCGATAGTCCTAGCCGTAAACAAGGGATACTAGGCGCTGTGCACATCAACCCGTGCAGTACTCGAACTAACGAGTTAAGTAATTTCTCTTATACATCCAACCGATCGAGACCTGATTCCAGTCTATAACTTTTGGATGAGCCAAATATTTATTTTCCTTCATTTTTCTACTCTCTATTTCCTCTGTCTGTTGTTCTGCAAGCTCTGTATCCTTTGTCGACACCATTACCCATTATAGGAAAGTAAAAAGTAGTTTCCTTTGCCCACTCTGTAAATCAATCCAACAATGAGTTCAAAAGATTGTTCTACTTATTTCAGTTGTCATCAAATTCATCTTTAAAAATTATACATATTTTTTGAAGAAAATAATTGAATATTTAGCTCAATTAGCTTCCAAAAATTAGTATGTTTTTTATATTAAAAAAATAACAAAACAAATAAACATAAAATAAATAATAGTAGAAAAACCAAGGCTAAAACCTTGAGGGGAAGGTTTTAAAATAATGGTGGTTTGTGGTTTATACGGGTGTGAAAACCTTCCCCTAGCAGACGCGTTTTAAAGCCTTAAAGCCTTGAGGGGAAGCCCGAAAAGGAAAATCCAATGAGGACAATATCTGCTAGTGCTGGTAGTGGATCTGAGGCGTTACAAATGGTATCAGAGCCAGACACTGGACGATGTGTCAGCCTTCTCGCTGTTCCCCAAGGGAGGGTAGACACAAGGCAGTGTGCCAGTAAGGACACTGGGCCCCGAAGGGGGGTGGATTTGGGGGCGGTCCCACATCGATTGGAGGAAGGAAAAAGTGCCAGCGAGGACGCTGAGCAAACCACCATTTATAAGAGTGTGGAAACCTTCCTCTAGCAAACGCGTCTTAAAGCCTTGAGGGGAAGCCCGAAAGGGAAAGCTTGCTGAGCAAACCACCATTTATAAGGGTGTAGAAATCTTCTCAAGCCTGGAAGGGAAAGCTTGTTGAGCAAACCACCATTTATAAGGGTGTAGAAATCTTCTCAAACCTTGAGGGGAAGCCTGAAAGGGAAAGCTTGCTGAGCAAACTACCATTTATAAGGGTATAGAAACCTTCTCCTAGCAGCGCATTTTAAAGCCTTGAGGGGAAGCCCGAAATAGAAAGCTCAAAGACGACAATATCTATTAGTAGTGGATCTAGGGCATTACATAGATAAAAATAAAAATAAAAAAGTCATCCCAGGAAAGGGTTGATGTATTATTTAATGGCAGGCTTTGTTTTTAAAGTGTAAAGTGGCGACTGGGGAACCTGGAAGAAAGATTTCTGCCAATATTCCTAACAAAATATTTCAACAGAACAATAATGGTTTCACTTTCGCATGCATGCACAGGTCAAAAGCAAGGCATAACACAAGCCACTTTCTCACGTGAGAATATTTCCTGAATTTACAAGAATACCCCTGCATTTGCACGTGTAACAGGAGGCTGTAATTCTTTCTCCTTCAGAAATAAAAGCTATTAAAAAAAAAACACAACTATAAATTTCATTACCTGATTCAGATGAACATAATAACAGGTGATTAGAGTGATTGTTACTCACAAGTTAAGATGTTGGAAGCTTCACAAGAAATGCTGGTTAATCCAAACCTCAGCTCCACAAAATCCTTCGCCCAAAACAAGCTGAAAATCATGAGAGTTTGGAACCAGCATCAAGGGTGAGAGGATGTGTGCTTTTTTTTAAAAAAAAAAAAAAGAGCTAAACTGCCATGTATGTACTACTTTTTCTCTCGTTCGGATAAAAGAAGTCTTTGCGTCTTTGCTACGTTGTCGACTACGAGTAACAATCTGTTAAAAATGAACGATGGACACAAAATTAGTTAACCCCTTTGTGTGATAAAGTAAGTCGTGCAAGCAATAAATTTGAATTGTCACAACATGAACAATTTCCGTATGTATGCACCCTTAGGAGAAGCAATTAACTATAATAGCCCAAGCCCAAGCTTAGTAGATATCGTCCTCTTTGGGCTTTCCCTTTCGGGTTTCCTCTCAAGATTTTTAAAACATGTTTACTAGGGAGGGGTTTCCACACTCTTATAATGAGTGCTTTGTTCTCCCCTCCAACGTCACATTGACTATCTCACATGCCTTTTCACCAATAATATGCAAAAAGAAAACAAAGTAAATAAATAAAATAAAACACGAGTATAATTAATTTTCTTCCGGGGAGAGGTGCAATAGAATTAATCTTCTCCTAAAGTATTTCACATTTTTGCTTTTAACACATGCTCCATGTTAATTTCAACTTAATCTCAAGGAAGAACCAGTTGTCCATGACAAAAAAGTATATATATACATACATACATATATATATATATATATATATATATATATATATATATACCAATGCATCTGATATCAGACTGAATGAAAATAAAATCTACAAATTAGTACTGAAATGGTAATGGAAGATGAAGGGTTCACTTTCACTGACAGTGATTCGATGATTGGGATTCATGGCTTGAAGTCCCCTTCAATGCATGATAAGATCAGTATTTGATGGCCTTGGTTCTTCCAATTCTATTAAGGGAGTTCAATTTTCAATGTCTCAGTAATCAAATCATATTGGCTCATCAAATGCGACAGCTGATTCTCATTTAGTAGCTCATGTTTTACGATCAGATAAGATAGGTCTCGAAGAAAATAAGTTCATAAATTTTCGAGGCTAATCCATATTTTAATGAAGATGCTTGCCTGCACCATATGGTTCCCCCAACCTAGTCAGCTGCCCTTCTGGAAAAGGAATCTTCGAAGCAAACATTCCATTGTTCTTCGTCCCATTTATTGAGATGTCGAACGAGGAATTGGAAATTGATAAAAAAAAAAAAAAAAAAAAAACATTGTGAGAATATTAATCTCGAACAATCCTTGGCTCTCCTTTTTTCGGAACAAGATATTGTACCTTCTTCAAAGTTTGTGGATAACCATGCAAAGAAGATTTTCCAATGGAGTCCATCCTCTTGATTCCTAGAAAAAAAATCATCTTGTTGAGTTTAAGTTTAGTTGATTTTTAAGAATTCCCTCCCCCCCTCTATGTAGCCATGGATTCCCAGCAGCTAAGTTCGCACGACAGCCAAACGGAACGGGAAATAATTGATTTCATGGATACCCCTTGTGATTACTAGAGCAAGGATTGGGATAGGAGAGGAAGTGGGTGCGTTATAGACACGAAATTCATTTCAACTACTAGGTCATAAGCAGATAACATGAAATAGATTGAACTGCTGCATGTAGGGAGTATCCCTGGGCTATGGAATCACTCTCTTTAATCCCACTTCCATCCTTATTCTAATCTCGAACATAAATCTTTATAGAAGCTTGAGACTCGAACCAAAAGGATATAACTGTAAAATTTAAGACAATTTAGGCTGTTCGAGATCCCACATTGGTAGGAGAGGGGAACGAAGCATTCCTTATAAGGGTGTGGAAACCTCTCCCTAGCAGACGCATTTTAAAACCTTGAACGGAAACCCAAAAGGAAAGCCCGAAAGAGGACAATATCTATTAGCAGTGGGCTTGGGTTATTACAATGCCGCTCCAAAAAGAACAAACACAACCTACCCTCGTAAATTAAACAGCCAGTAATCCAAATTTACGAGCAAGTTATGTCAAATTTAGACATGATTTTTCTCCCAATAACCTAAAACATATAAATCTTAATAGGATGCAGCTCATCCCAATCCGTCTCCGATCATAACTCAGATAGATCGATTAATCTCCAAGATAAAGCGGAAGTCATCTATTGAGGACAAGACTCGGCAGACGGAGGTCTAGGAGCTTGAATAGGTTATTGAATTAGCTCAATAAGGCCTACTCTTTGAATCATATACGTGAGGCGATTCTCTTAAAGATTTAGATTTAAACAACCATTGTTCTGCTAATGCATGCTCTACAAAGCCTAAGGAATAATCTAATCCACCAATTCTTGTTCTACAAGTAATGCGCCAGCAGAAATACGATCCTAATATGCATCAATTTCTAATGTAAAGCGATACAGCAAACAAAGAGGATAATCAAACCTGAAGTTCCCTCAATACAGCAAGTAAAGCACGAAGAGATGCAGAAAGTGATCAATGGAGTTAGAAGCTAAGGACTCACCAGCTCCTGAATCTCGCCTGGAGCACTTGATTTTTTGCATCTGAAGGTGCATCTCCATGAGTAGTTGCATTCTCTGATACTCCAAATCCTTCACGAACTGCATCCGCTGCATCTCCAATTCTACCATGTGTCTCTGTTTTGCTACCTCCACTTTCTCAAATATATCGGCAATCGTCCCTATTGCGTCAGCCAGTTTCCGGTACCCTACGTCTCGGTCCTTGAACCTCGGACTCGAGAAATGATTCTCGGAATCCATATCGTCCTTTCCTTCATCATGTTTCGAGTTTAAATCCTGGCTAAGGTGCGAATTGCAGAAACTCCCGTAGACGTGACTCAAACGACGTTTCTTAGTCCCGGATCGAGGACCAACCGGAATTTTCGGGAACAGCGACATCCCTGGAGTCGTCGCTGTCAAGGCTTTACAGTAAGAAACGGCGGCCGGCGTCGAAGACTTACGGCTGTTGCCTATAAGACTGTCGAGACAAGAGAAGAACGGCCAAGCGCTGACGTACGTTCCACCGGATTCTTGAATTCTCGCCTTCTCGATCTTGTACTTCCTCTTAAGCGTATCGATACGGTTTTTACACTGAATAGCCGTACGAATTGACTTCCTCTCATGATTATGACAGGAGTTGACAGCGTCGGCGACCTCTTGCCAGTGTTTATACCTAAGACTGCCGCGGTTCAAGTCGAGATGACGTTCGCCCCAGGCTTCGACGAGAGTGGAAGTATCGTCCAAAGTCCAACAGTCTTCGCGAACTGGAAACGTGGAAGCCGACGGCGACGGCTGCGACAGAGCCATGGGGAGTAAGGTTGAGTCCAGAGGCAGCGAGTCCCTCGGAAGGAGATGGAAGCGGTTCAGAAATGGGGGTGTTGCCGTTGCCGTTGTAGGCTTTGGATGCGGAAAGGAAGGCAGTGCAATGGGGAGAAAGGAAAGCGGTGAGGAGTGAGTGGAATGGGAAGCGGACGTGTCCAAGCAATTCCGGAACTAAGCGGCATTTGGATCCATTGCCGCGATCTTCCGCGTACTTCGTTTGGTTTTTGGGCCTTGTGCGCGCTACGGTGAATATTTGAATTCTATTAAAATTTATTTGTATTTTTTATTTAATCGATATTCTCAAAAGTATTATTTAATATTTAGTTATATATGGTTATAGTCGATTTTGTGATTTACAAAATTAATAAATAATTTTATTAAATTTTTATTATTAAAAATTAACTTATTACCTATTTTAAAGTATTCGGATTCTCGGGACTAAAATGTTATAAATTTACAAGTTTTGGAATTGAATTGTTAAAAACTAGAGTTTATGGACTAAATTGTAACTTTCACAAAGGGTCGGGGGCTGTAGAAAGAAAATTGTTGTACAATTTCTCGGGTAGTAGTTTTAGTTAATAACGACTTTCTCGTTTGTGGTATGTTTTAGCTCCTCAAACACGTAACGTTCCACACTTTCTACTTATATCCAACCGGAACAGATCAATGAAAATACATCACATTGAAAAGCCAATTGATATGTCACGTTTGTTGGATGATGAAAGTCCCACGTCGGCTAATTTAGGGAATGATCATGGGTTTATAATCAAATAATACCCTCTCCCTTGGTACGAGGCATTTTGGGAAAGCCCAAACCAAAGTCATGAGAACTTATTGACTAATTTAGGGAATGATCATGGGTTTATAATAAAATAATACTCTCTCCATTAGTACGAGGCCTTTGGGGAAAACTCAAAACAAAACCATAAGAGCTTATGCTCAAAGTAAACAATATTATACCATTGTAGAGAGTCGTGTTCATATAACATGGTATTAAAGTCGTGCAAATAAATTGGTAAATCCTCAAATATCGAACAAAGGACTTCAAAAGAAAAAGAGTCGAGTCTGCTCAAAGGCATAGTAAAAAATGACTAAGACTCCAAAAGAAAAAGAAGTCTAGCCTCGATTAAAGGGAGACTTACTTTGTTCGAGGGGAGGTGTTCGATTCATTTATGAGTCAGCAGCCAACTATGGCTTTAAATGAATGATTATGGAGAAACAAGGTTCTTTGAGACAGCATCATATGAACAGTAATAACAAGCGGGTCCACAGATAACAGTTCTTCATAAAACAATTCGTACTATACTTCCTTTATTCTCCATGTAAATTATGGATCATCATTGTTTCTTTACAGTAATGAGTAACATTTACAGCATGCAAGAGAACAAAACAACTTTACCCAACAGTGAAAATGCCCATTTTACAGTTATTTTTTTACACTGATCTCAAGCATGAAGATAAAAATGAACATTGAAATCCACCAAACCCAGTGAAAAGTAAAAGCATACTCACAGCCAAGTGAAATTTGGAAAGGAATTCTTCCATTGTTCTAAACTTCAGGTATGGATGATAGCAGTTCCTGATGCAAAGAGACTTGTGAGCATTATAATTTACAACATGGTTAAAGCATCATTAGGCAGTGTTGCACCATTACCTTTGAGAACTGCAGATGCAGACGGTTGGAATCGGAGCTTTTAACGGTAGACTCCTCGATGGGATCGGGAGATACGGTTGTCGAAACGGGGTTTAGACGCATTGCAAGAGAAGATTGCAAAAACGAAGCGTTTTTTGACGGTGGCAAAGTACGTTTTAGCCAAGAGTCTGATGGAGATTTTGGTGGAGGTGGAGCGAAAGACAACCGTGATTGTGAGTAACCGCCGTGAGAACCATGTCGATGTTTCGAATCCTTCTTTCCATTAGTAGCATCTTCTGAAGTTCTCAAATCAGGGGAGTCCCGAGCAGGGCCATCGAAACTTTCATGAATGTCGGTCTCTATAAGCTTTTTGCTATCGAACTCGTGCTTGTTGCTATATTCTCGACTATTGGAATCACTTTGTTTACTGGGTTTGAAGGAATATTGGTTGTCCAAATCAAACTTCTTGTTGTTAGCCAATTCTGAGCTTGTAAGCTTTGCACTTATCCCTTTCATGTCCAAAGAATTTGAACTTGAATCTGGAGATTTCATCTTATGTACAGAGTCTATGTAGAGAGTTTTCTCGACTGGACTAGACGAACCCGATTCGTCGCTCAGTAATGCTTGAAAGCTGTTTAGGCTTCTTCTGTGTGGTTCGTCATATCCATCCGTCACAGAATTGATAGCTTTTTCAGTAAAACCACGAGAAAGACTTACATTTGTATGAACAGCTCGGGACGGTTCATCTGCGTAGTTGGATTCGCCCTCGCCCTGCAAATGACTGTATAAAGAAAATATCTTCCCCTCCTGCATATTACTTTTGCTGGATTTTTCTTCTGGCTGCAGCCGAGTTCGAGTTATTCCTTGACCGTGACTCGATCGTTTCTCATTTACAGCATCCTTGGAACTCTGGATTTCAAATAATACAGATTCAACAGTTTTAACTTTGACATGGTCACAAGGCAAATAAGAGAAGAAGATGATACCTTGATTGAGCTATTACGAATTCTACGAACAGAAGTGGCTTGCATTCTCATTCCCGGTACTGGATTCAAAGGGAAGAACGAGCCCTTTAAGCAAAACCGAGGAAGAAAACCACATCCCCGAGCGGAAGTATATCCCGACTCGTCATAATCATCATCTTCATCTTCACTTTCTTCCATGAATATTTCTTTGACATGTTTTCTCTGCACGTGCACGTTCGGCCGACTCTGCCTATTCCCATTCGTTATCGTCTTTATTTCACTTGACTGCTCGATGGGAACGGTTAGTTTTCTGTTGGTATGTGGAAGTGTTTCTGATGCCATTGCCTTCGCTGCAGGCAGAAATCGGTCCAACATGAAATTCCGAGCATGTGGATCCATGGAGGAGGCCGCTGGAGGTTGAATTTCTGAACCATCCAATCCACTTACTCCACTAAAACTACAATTCAAGAAGAAGGATTCCGATCGATAAAATCGATCATTTGCATCCCTGTAAACCTCGTCGTCGTCGTCGTCGTCTTCTTCGTCGTCGTCATCATTTCTCGACTTACAACTGGCCATCTCTTCAACTGTTTCTCTGTCATTTTTACCTAATGAATCATCTATAGGAGTAGGAACTTCTTGGTTTACTTTACGGGTTCTTCCGGGTGGGAGTTTCGGAACAAGCGGAGGCCGTTTCGAAATCTGAGTCGTTGTAGTGCCTTCATCCTTGGGTTTACCTGGAGTTTGCTCCCACACAAAAGGAACAGTTCCAGGGTTCCTCACTGGACCAGATTTCAATTCTGATTTACATACAGGAAGAGGAGGAATTTTGGGTTCAGGTCTGGTTTTTTCATGAGTTTCTGGTGGTGTTCCTGTAGATGTAAAACGCCTCACAGAAAGAAGAGGTTGACCAAAATCCAGTTGTTTCTCTTCCATCAAGTTCCTTAATGAAACCATGTGGTAGTTCCTGGGCAAGACCTCGATTTTATTAAAACACTACACAGAGTAACAAAGCTCGGTTGGTGCTAAAAAAACAACCTCAGATAAGATCGGTAACGACCCAAGTCAACCGTTAGCAAATATTGTCCTCTTTAAGCTTTCCTTCCGGGTTTCCTCTCAAGGTTTTTAAAACGCATCTGCTAGGGAGTGGTTTCCACACCCTTATAAAGAATGTTTAACCGATATGAGATCTCGCAATCCACCCCCCTTGGGTGGGGAACCAACGTCTTCGCTGGCACACCGTTCGATGTTTGGTTCTGAGACCATTTGTAACAGCTCAAAGAGGACAGTTCTCCTCTCCAACCGACCAATATGAGATCTCACAATTCACCCCTTTGGTGGGGGCCCAATATCCTCGCCGTCACACTACCCGGTGTCTAGCTCTGATACCATTAGTAATGGTCCAAAGAGGACGATATCTACTAGCGGTGGACTTGGGCTGTTACAAGATCAAAGTTGTTAAAACGCGTCTGCTAGGGAGAGATTTCCACAACCTTATAAGGAATGCTCCATTCCTCTCTCCAATCGATATGGGATCTCACAATCCACCCTCTTGGGTGGGGGCCCAGCGTCCTCGCTGCACACCGTCTGCTGTCTAGCTCTGATACCATTTGTAACATCCCAAACCTACCGCTAGCAGATATTGTCCCTTTTGGCCCGTTACGTATCGTCGTCAGCCTTACGGTTTTAAAACGCATCTGTTAGAGAGAGGTTTCCATAGTCTCCTAAGGAATGCTCTGTTCCCCTCTCCAATCGATATAGGATCTCACAATCCACCCCCCACAGCTTTATAAGCAAATATTGTCCTCGCTGGCACACTGCCCAGTGTCTGGCCGATACCATTTGTACCGGCCCAAAGAGAACAATATCTGCTAGCTGTGAATTTGGACGGTTACAAGATGTTTATCTGATCTACTGACTAATAATCAAAGGAAAACAAGAACTTAAGATTTTGCTTAAGCTCAACAATCAAAGGAAAACAAATAGAAACAGAGGTTTTGGGGGATTCTAAAAGAAATTTAACAGGAAATTTGGAGTTCGCATGATGCACTTTCCATCACTAATTCGAAGCCCACAAGAAATCCACTTCGAATGAACTTGGAACTCACAGAATCATTTCATCAAACATCTTATATTCATTCTCAACGCATCCTTCAATCAGCCCTCACAATAACTTAACGATCAAAACAACACTCATCAAGAATATGAGATTTCGAAGCAATAATCAGATAAACAACATGAATTAGCTAATTCGTCCAGATTGCAGAAGAACAGTAACATCAAACATAAAACTCAGATAAACAAATTGAATTTAAGAAGCTATGCAGTAGCAAAACAAACTAACCGCAATCACAGATGAAGGTAGAGAAGCCTTTTTTATGTTCGCACCGACTCAAAAACGAGTTCGATCTACTGCTTGCAGACAGCGAGCAAATACGAGCTGTATTCGCAAAAGAAATGAAGCGACAGAGAGAGAGAGAGAGAGAGAGAGAACTTTTATCCCAGAATCTGTTCCCAACCATGCATGAAAAAATTTAATAATCAAAGAGAAAATAATAAAGAGAAAGGGACAGATAGAGAGAGAAGGTGAATTAGTGCGTGGGTCAGTGTGGAACTTGCAGGGGACGGCCATGGCAGAGGTTGAGTTTACCTGTATTTAATGGAAGACGACAAATTGTTCGTAAAGATGAATATGGTTACTCCTTTTTAAATAAAATTTAATTATCGTGGGTTCAAATCGAAATTAAATATGATTGGGATGAATATCAGATTTGATTACATAATTAATTGGAATTTAAATGGTATTTTTTGTTTTAAAATGTTTGTATTTTAACTTTTTATTTCTGAAATTTATAAAAGACTTTGTTTTTTTCTTTTTCCTAAAATAATTGTTTTTTTCTTCGTGTTTAACTAATTTTTAGATTATTATACTTTTAAAATTAACTGAGGTTTCTGTTAATAATAAAATAAAAATAGAATTAAGAAGTTGTGTTCTCATTCATATTTATATTCTTTAAATATGATACAAGCTACCATCTAATACCTATAAATATCTAAGATATATTCCATAATTAATATATTCTCCAAATATTATATCTCAATCATTTTAAATATAATTTTGAATATTTATAAGTTAAATTAATATAAAATAAATATTGGTCGACTTTGGTCTAAAAAATATCTTTGAATTTTCAAAAGTTAATGGTGTAACCCACACTCTTCCATGTCATACTTGCACGATGCACACACTCGACTATTTGCCTGCAAGATCTATCTAGTTTGGCACGTCGTGCTCGATCATTCCGTCAATAGGGGAGTTTTTCCTTCATAGTTACTAATATGTTTCTTCGTGTTTTAATTTTGTTTCTCCGATGTTAAAAATAAGAATTAAATTATATAAAATAACTATAAATCATGAGTTATATTTAAAAAAGGCCTCAAAACTTTCAAAAGCATCAGAAATTCGGACGTTTTGGATAAAAAAACGTTTCATTAACGTCCCTCCATTACTATTTTATTGCACTTAATTTTATAAGAAAAATTCCACATTAATTTGTGTGGAGGAATAAATATTTTTCAATAAAAAGTATTTTTAAATACTTTTAAAAGTTTATTTTTGGTCCAAAACGATTTTTTTTTTTTTTTTTTTTTTTTTTTTTGCAGAAAAAAAAAAAAAAAA